GCGCACCAGATAGATATATATATATATATATATATATATATATGAAACATTAAATAGAAAAAAAAGGGTTAGAATTTAAACTTAATTACCCACATGAGATGAAAGTTCCCTTGTTACTAAATTTAGAAAAGGGTAAAAAGTGAAGAGATCAAATGTAGAAAGTAAAATTCACCTTCAAGCAACCTCTTTTTATGGCAAAAAGATAAAGTCTCGGTTTTGGTAATTGGGTTCTCCTTCAAGCAAACCCCTTCTCTCTCTCTCTCTCCCCCTCTCTCTCTCTATATATACATATATATATATATATATTTGTGTAATAGCTTCTCGTAGACTTTCATTCACCTCGGCCATATTTTGACTGTTGCATTGGAGTTAGTCTCTCTCTTTTTTTCTTCATGCATTTCTTTTTTGACTTATTATTGTTCTTTGTCAATATATATATATATATATATATATATTTAAAAAAACATGTATTGGACTAAGTTCTTGGAAGAAAATCCAAAAAAAAACTCCCGAATGAAGCCCATTAATCTATTCCAGGCTATTACTTGTTGGGCTTTTATGGCTTTTTAAAACCCATTATCAAAGCCCATTGGGCCCATTTTGTTAGACTTTGGTCACCCTCCGAGTTTTAGATTTTTATTAGGTTTTGAGAACTTGGGTTAATAACCAATAACGGAATCCATCCAAACCAAACCAAACCAAAATAACACGTTAACCAAACCGAATTAGATATAAAAGGGAATGGTAAAAGCCGAATCCAAATATAACCGAATAAAAAAATCGAAAAACCATAAATTTCTTAAAAAAATGAATATTTTGTATCATAACCGAACCGAATTTAAACCGAATATAACCGAGTCGAACCGAATTCAAAATAAAAATCGAATGGTTATAGTTTTTCTAAAAACTGAAATAATCGAACCGAAACCCAAATAAGTCACCCTAGTAGTCGTTGAGTATTTATCCACTAATGTGAAATTTCAATAAGACAAGAATCAATATCCAATGCCAAAGCATTTCCTATTCAAGTCGCCGCTTCTACCGAAGAGGTCACCCTTCCTAAGACAAAGACATGATCGCCAACTTCAATGGCCTTTCCCCTTCCAATTCTTGTCTCGTCATCCTTCCAGACCATGTTCTGTCCGAAATATATCTGCATTTCACCGTTTCCGTATATCGTTATATCATTCGCCCGTGAAGCCAAAACCCGCTGACTGACTCAGAGTCTATCTATCCACACCAATCTCTTACCTTTCCTTGCGGTTTCCGATTTGGCTGTAACACTTTGTCCGACCTGAAACTCCTCAGTGTCACGAGCGGTTCCGTCCCTCCGATACCCGTTTCTTGATCAATCGTGGGTACCTAAGCGATTTGCGTAAAAAAGAAGTCGGTATAAAAAACCATATGACGAAGAAGAAACGAGTCAATTCACGAACAAAAAGTACAGAGAATTTTGACAAAACCTCCTACCTTGCAGCGAGAACACAGCTTCACGCCGTGAAAAGTACAGTCGTTTATCCGAATCTCTGTCCATAAATCTTCGGCAAACGGTTCACAACCATCAACGAAGATGCTGTTTGCATTGCCAATGTGAAAAAAGAGAATGATCTTAGATAATAAGATTACAAAAGCAAACAAGAATCTGAATCAGGGACTGAAATGATTTGATCTTATGCAAGACCAGATATGTTCATACTTGGGTCTGAACCGGTTGACCGGTACAGGCTCCTTAAGAAGCTTATTTAGGGCATCAAGAGAACCCTGCAAAGAGCAATGCCATGCCACCCGAAAAAAAATCGCAGGCAAAGGTTCAATCAGAGAAGAACCAAGAAAGAAGGAGAAAATCGATAAGATTACTCTCTCTTTTCCTTCATCGACTGACCTGTGACAAAAGCAAGAACGGATACATGTCTGAAAACAATGCAAAGTGGCCCGGAGCGTAATTAGGATCCACCGGCCTAGTTTCAGAGGCTGCAAACACGAAATCGTAATAATGGAATTGAGCTTTTAAGTGTTGACGCAACAAGATTTTTAAAAGGAGCCCTCCTCCGCAGGTCAACAATGGCGGTCGCTACTGGAGAAATATACTGAACCTGAATCGAAACGAACAAGCCGACAAGGTTTCCCGAGGAAATTTGTAAACCACTGGGAGGCTTGCTCCCCTTCATCCAAGGCAGAGCCCGACCACTCCCACACCGAGACACCACGAGCAATATCCTTGGGTGTAGCCAATGAAATATTAAGGGAGTCCATACCGGGAGCTCTAACCACTGTCAAATCCAAGCTAAAAGATGAATGAAAATCATTGGAAAAAAGATTACCATCCAAATAGATTGCAAAGCGTTTTAACAACAATCACAGTATCATATCCATACCCATGTTGAGACTCTTCTTGGGCACCCAGTTCTCAGCAAAAGCCTCTTCTGGAAACTCTATCTCGATCAATGCAAGCTTTGGCTCAACTCTCTGAGTCAATCCCCTTCCTTTTGAATTCACAATCAACCAGTTCCGATCCCATCGAAATCCTGCTCAGCCAGACCCAAAAGATCGATCTTTTTACAAAGGAACAGCACCAAATCAATCTACTGGCAAGAACTTCCACACTTGCTCGTGAAACTGCTAAAAATAATTGAAAAATTCACACATAATCAAATGGGCCATGGAAAAAATTGAGGAACCATTAATCACAGCACCTCAACAGAAGCTAATACAGACTTTTCATGAAGCGTGGTCAGTGTCCATAAACACTAAGAAATGGCAAAACCACCAGAACCCAGAAGAAAATACGGCTCAAAGATCATACAAATAAGAGAAACTCGGAATCAACCCCAGAAAAAAAAAGGATAAAAGTTGAGAAATTTTCTCAAACAAAGAAGTGGGCAATGTCCAATTATACCGGTAGGAGTCAGAGGTGCCTGAGACAGGGAGATTCCCCGGCACGATTTGATCGGATATACGAACAGGGACGATACTCTCGCAGCTAATTCGGCCGCCGGCGACAAAACGTTCTCCATTTCTCTCTGTCTTCTCGGTGATTCACTGGTTTCGATTTAGCCAAGTGCTCATCGAGAGAGAGATATTTTCATGACGTCAGTAGCAAGAGCTTTCGTAGCTCAGTTGGTTAGAGCACCCGTTTAGTAAGCGGGAGGTCTTGAGTTCGACTCTCAACGAAAGCATCTATATATTTTTTCCGACCTACATATTTACCCCAATTTTTAATACAACCCCAAAGGTCTAAATTATTTTATTATCGCCCCAACACTTTAGAAATATACAGAAACACCCCTGCAGTAGAGCAGTGTAAACACTTCTTCTTCCTTCTTTTTTTTTTCAGACCAAGATCCTTTCGCCATTACCAAGAACCAAGAGTTTTATTGTTCATACTACATTAATCCCCTTCAAATCTAAGAACTAATCTTGAACATATATATCTCTATCTACAAGCATGAAAGAGTTGTCCAAATGAAAACCATCCACCAGTTCTTCTTCTGTAAAAAAAAAAAAAAAAAAAAAAAATCGTTTTTCCCTGCAGCTCATAACCCATTCTCAGCAGTGAAACTCGGAGAAGTGTGTGTATATATATATATATATATCGGTACTCAGCCGTGTCCCCCATCTTCCGTAACTTAGACTGCAGGGTGTTGTCTCGAGGGCTGGGCCTCGGTCAAAGAATCGGCCGTGTTCTGGCTCTCGAGAGGCATGTACTGAGACATGATCGCCACGATCTCTGAATCCATGTATGACTGAAAACGAGCACGAGGACGTTCAAAAGATCAGAAACACCGAATCACGGAAAGATAGATGAGGGGTTTCGGAAACGATAGACATGGAGCCGTACCCTGAGCCTGTACTTGTAGAACATGTAACCGGCTACGCAGATCCCTCCGATGGCTGCCAGGACAACGAATGCGAAGAACCGGGCGGTCCTTGATCCGCTTCTCTCTGGGGAAAAACACGATCCAGACACGGGATTAACGACAAGATCGTGTGGCAAAAACTGTCCGAGAAAGACGGGTTTTTGTTTTCTCGTGGCATTACCGATACAAGTGTCTTGCTCTTTCATGTAGAGACGATTGCCTGAGCACTTGCATTCATATCCCCCCCATGTGTTCTTACACTTGCAGCCTTCACATTGGCACGCCGATCTTTCCTTACATTCATCGGTATCTAATAGCAGATATCGATTGATCAGTCGGAGAAGAACGTAAACCGAATGAATCGGTATAAGGAGAGTGGATTCAGAAAGGGAGATGTATGTTTCTTGAGAAAGTTTTCACCTTCACATCTCAGACCGTCTCCGTGGAACCCGGGCGGGCAACGGCATCCCGATACATCGGAGTTCTGCATTAAACAAAGGGGGAAACCCGTTAAGAAAGCGAAAAGTTTCAAACTTTGCGGCGTTTCTGAAAGACCCGAAAAGAGCAAACGCTCGATGAAAGGATGAAGGCAGCATTGCCACTTAACTGAACAAGCAGAGAAAGTTACGCCCTTTCGGGTTTCAGACCAGCAGCCTCCGTTGTTCATCGAACATCTCGACGGCCCGTAAGCTGAGAAAAAGGTATAGATACTTCAAAGACCAGAAAAAAACGCGACGTGAAAATGAGCATTTGCGCAAAGAACGTACGCTCGCACGTTGAATAGCCATCTCCTTTGTATTGCACACCGTTCACGACAGGGCATTCGCAAACTCTTCCCCTGAATGTGTCCTAAGAGAATTCAAGATCGTAAAACTTCATCGTCAGTCGATCAACGGTATAAAACGAAGATCGGAATACGGAAAACGGATATGGTTTTCGATGTTCTGATCAAAAGTACCTTACAAGCTGTTATGTTAGCTCCCTTATCGTACCAACACCCTCCGTTACTTTCGAGGCATTCATTCGTCTCGATGTCTGATTCAGACAGGAATTGTTCTGAAATGCAATCATCTTACAAAAGGATAGAGAATTCTGTAACAGAGAGAAGCGGCTTTACCTCCGCTTAAACATATGGAGGGTTCGGTTCTTTCCTTGAATCCCGAACATATAGCCTTTAGAACAGCTGTTCTGTCAAGTTTACCTGAGAATCTTGAATTGAACGGTTCAGTAAAAGATCATATACCGGAATGAACAGATTTCACAACGAGAAGAGAGAACGTACCACGATATTGAGCATCGTTGATTACCAAGGTCGGCAAGATGGTGACATCGCCACGTTCTCCTCGGCCCACCTGAAGCTGCTGCTCGGTTTTCAGAACTTCATTCTCAACATCGGCATCGGGATCGCCCATGCATTTCTTGATCTTGCCAAGCGGCAAACCTGAGAAATCCCGAAAAGATTGCAAAAGATAGCAAAGAACTCTAACAAGAGAAAACGCCGAGATAGCTCTTGAGGAACGTTACCGAGAGATTCAACGACAGTCTCTGCGCATTCTTTGCTGTATTTCTTCTCCTTCATCGAACATCTGATGTGAAAATCCGTAACGAAATCCCACCATACCCACGAGCGGTTACTCTCTTTGGCAACTCTATGAACGCACAACTGTCTCAGATTCTCGTACACGATATCTTTCCCGTCGTATCCATTGCCAAAGTCTTGTTCAGGATCAGGAGCACAATACCTCCCTCGGTTTATACACTGAGACTTACACTGGCTACTGAGAATAAAGGCCTCGGGGCAAAACCACGTGATGTAATGCGGTGTGAATAACGTGTATCCGAGTTTCTCGAGAATCTGAGCGTGCCCTTTGAAGTTCTTGACGAAATTCATCTGTTCATCGCAGCGTGGGCCGCATTCGTCGTTGGTATTGGTCCAGAGCTCATACTCGACTCTCTCGTCTGGATGAGGTAACGATTCGCTCCAATCTATCTTGAGGACGACTTCTTCGCCTTTCTTAAGGGATTCCTTCAGGCTATCGCCGAACGAACGCTGGACTAAAGCCGACGGAATGCTGATTTTCTCGATGAACTCGTCTGCTTCTTTGGACTCCTCGGGAGAATCCATCGTTATCAGCGGCTCGTCAATGTTATCAGCCACAAGAACGGCTGCTGCCCCGGATTTTTGCCCGTTCCAAACCTTCAAGGCGAAGTAGCAATCTGAAAGGGGGAAAAGTTCGAGTCGAGTTCTTGTTGCAGCCCCAACTTTTATCAAAGATGAAGCAGAAAGCTCGAGATTTATCTATAATCCATCTTGTTCTTCGGTTGCATTAGAGAAAAAAGACAGGTTCTTAATGAAACTGGCTTTGATCTCTCACTCATTCATAAGAAGAAACACCAGAAACCAAATCAAGAACAAAGAGACAGAGAACAACCAAGGTTTCTAGATAGTTTCTCTGACATTTTCCGACATGTTGCAGTCTCTGGCTACATGAATTATCCAACCCAACAGCTTCATCATCAACATAAGGGATTCAAATCTCCCTCTTTTAACCAGAAAATCGTGCGACTCTAACCATATTTTGACAAAGCCATGTCTGTATATTACAGCATTTGATTCCAGACTTGACATATATATATATATATACATATATATGTGTATATATTCAGACAATCTGATACAGTAAACTACCAGAACTAGAAAATCTCAGATTCGGATTCGAATCTCAAGTCTCAATGCATATTGCGAGCAAGAAATGGGGAATGGAACAGTACCTCCACGGTCGATAAGCAAGATAGTGGGGCGAGGAAACTTCGGCTTGAAGGCCTTATCGAAAGAGGCGCATCCGTACGATCCCTCGCCGGCGTAGACGACGGAGCCGATCACGAAACCGCCGTAGTTTGGGACGCCGAAGTTAGCTATGGCGGGGGCGGGCTTCGCCCTATCGCCAACGGATTCAGCACGGCGACGCTGCTCTTCTCCACGACGAATCTCGAGAAAGCTCCGTTGATTATCATGGCGGTCAACGCCAGGAACAGAGGAAAGGTGGCTCCTTTCTTGGTCGGAGCCATTGTTTCCGACACGAAAACGGAGTCAGGGCAATGGGTTACACTCCGATTTCAGTTTTATATCTGGGGTTTTTTCTGTTTGTTTCCCGGGAAAGTGAAGGGAAAG